TATAAAGTAGAGGAAGATGGGCATGGATGTTAGCTCAGGACCAGTCTTCCTCAGCAAAAAGAGGAGGATTGGCAGCAGATGTTAGCTCAGGGCTAATCTTCCTCAAGAAAAGAAAACAAAAAAAACCCCAGAAAAACAATACAGAGTGAAACCAAAAACTGGTTCTTTGAGAAGCTTAATAACATGGGTAATCCTCTAACCAGACTGATCAAGAAAAGACGAGAGAATCAAGTTACCAATATCAGGAATGAGAGAAGTAACATCACTACAGATTCTATTAAAAAGATAATAAGGGAATATTGTGAACTTTATGCCAACTATATGACAACTTAAATGAAGTGGACAAACTTTCTGAAAGTCAAACCACCAAAGCTTACTCAAGAAGAAATAGATACTGGAATAGCCCTAACAAGAAATTGAAATTATTGTGTTATTAAATTGCTAAGTTAAAAACCTTCTCTCTCTCTCTCTCTCACACACACACAGGCACACACAGGCACACACAGGCACACACACACACCAGAAAAAACAAGCCTCCAAGTCTGGATGGCTTCACTGGTGAATTCTACCAAAGGTTTAAGGAAGAAATAATACTAATTCCAGCCAAACTCTTCCAGAAAAGTAAAGAGGAAAGAATACTTTTCAACTTAGTCTCTGAGGCCAGCATTACCCTGACACCAAAGCCAGAAAAAGACAAGTATAATTATGAAAAAAGAGAAGTATAATCTGAAATCCCTCATGAACATAAATGGAATAATTATTGACCAAGTTTTAGCAAATTGAATCCAACAGTATGTGAAAATAATATGTCATGACCAAGTGCAGTTTATCCTGGAAATGCAAGACTAATTCAACATTTAAGAAGTGATTGAATTTATCATGTTCCTCTCCATAGATGGTAGAAGCAGTATTTGAATAATTCCAACATCCCTTTCTGATTAAAAAAGAAAACAACTTAGCAAGTTAGGAATAGAAGGGAACTTACTCAGCTTGATAAAAGGCATCTATGAAAAACATACAGTTAATAGTGTTTTTACTGGTAAAAAAACTGAAGATTGGGAAAAAGGAAAGGATGTTTGTTTTCACTACTGCTGTTCAATATTGTATCTAAGGTTCTAGCTAGTGTGTCAAGGCAAGAAAAAGAAATAAAAGGCACCCAGGTTTCAAGGGAAGAAGTAGAACTGTCGTTCTTTACAGAGAAGGAATCATGCTACCTGATTTCAAGACTAATTATAAAGATTCAGCAAATCAAGAAATGTGATACTGGTTGAAGATAGACAAGTAGATGAGTGGAACAGGAATAATCAAGAAATTGACTCACTCAACTATGGTCACTAGTTTTGTTTTGATACAGGTGCCAGAGCACTTAAATAGGAATGGGTAATCTTTTCAACAAATGGTCCTAGAATAATCTAGATAGTCATTTGTTGAAAACAACAAAAAAAACCCTGAACCTCTGCTTATTTCTTGCTATGTACAGCAGTCAACTTGAAATTAATCATAGACCTAAATGTAAGAATTAAAACTATAAAGCTTCTAGAAGAAACCATAGGGGAAAATCTTAGTGATCTTGAGTTTTTCAGAATTCTTAAATACAACACAAAAAGTGCTAATTATAAAAGATAAATCAAATAATCGGACTTTATTAAAATTGAAACTTTTGCTTTCCTAAAGTACTGTCAAGAAAATGAAAAAGCAAGCCAGACCTAGGAAAAATAATTTCAAGTCATATATCTGACAAAGGACTTGTGTTCAGAATATATGAAGAACTCAATCCAAGTAAAATTGGACAAAAGGCTTGAATTAGTTACCTCAGCAAAGAAGGTGTGTGGATTGCAAATAAGCTCTGAAACATGATCAGCATCATTAGTAATTAATGGAAGGCAAATTAAATCTATAACAAGATACCACTGCATGTGTACTAGAACAGCTGAAAGTATTGACCAGGAGGTAGAACAACTGAAACTCTCTTGTGCTGGTGATGGGGATGTAGAATGGTACAACCCAGCCATACCAGTCCTGCGTGTTTACACAAGAGAAATAAAAGCATATGTCCACACAAGAACTTAACAGTACACCAGTGTTCTCAGTTAAAATAGGCAAAAATTGGAAACAATCCAAATGTCCATCAGCAGATGAATGGTTAAACTGTGGCATATTCATACAATGGAATACTTAGCAATAAAAAAAAATGAACTGTTGGCACAGTAAACAATATGGACAAAAAGTGATAAAAAGCAGATTAACAGTTGCTTGAGCATGGGAGGCACTGGCTGCGGGTGAGAGAGAGAGGGAGAGATCACAATGGGGACAAGGATGATATTGGCAGTGATCAGTGTGCTCATTTTCCACTGGTGGTTTAATGGATGTATGTCACATCTTATCAAATTGCCATGTGCCAAGTGAGTAAGAGAAAGTTTATGTTTTAGATCATCCTCTGTTGTAGTCAGGTCTCTATCTCGGTTTGAAATACTTACTTACTCTTGCTATCTTTGCCTCCTGTATCATGTAAGAAATGCCTTAAACCTGTAGGGCATTAAAGTAACATTTCTAAAGTAAAAGTTATAACAACTGATCCAACTTCAAACTGGCCAGCGTTTGTTACTTTGGTCTTGTCAATATTCATTAGAGCATAGGACAATTGGAATTCCTCTGAATTGAGAAGTTTGAGACTTGGCAGGGAGAACTAAAACAATTCCTTCTGCCATAAAATAAGAAAGTCTGACACAAGGAGGCTGTGCCTGGGTGATTGCCCAGGTTTATGTTGCTCATTCATCTCCATTTTCTCCAGAGCCCAGTTGGTACACAGCCGAGTACTGAGGGTGTGTCTGATCTGGAACACCCAGGGAGGAAGCGGACAACAAGGACATTGAAATTCACTCAGAACAAGACAAGAGGGATTTGATTCAGATTGGGATGTTCAGGGCTTTCCATTAGGCTCTAGCACTATTAAGGCCCCTTGGGAATTTTTCTAACTAGGGAATAAAAAGCCTGTCTCTGATGTCTTCATACTTTTATGTATCCCTTCCAGCCTTAATCCACTCTATCATGATTTGCTCTGGGGCTTTCTCTAGGATTTTTGTGGAGTTGGACAATTTGAAGGGCTGTTCCTTATGTACCTCTGTGGTCTTTTTCTTCAGTCTCTAATTACTCACTGATCTACATTAATGTGACAGGTTAACAAGTGTCCTTGAAGCCACTCTCTGATGTGGCTAAATAAGATGCCTTATTCTTTACATTCATTAGCCTGTGTGTGTGTGTGTGTGTGCGCACTCATGCGTGTGTGCATGTGTGTTTACATATGTATTTGGATCAGATCTCTTGTTAGAGAATGTTAATTTATTACAGTCATGGAAATTGGATTTTAGAAACCTAATTGCTGTTGTCTATTGTTTTTAGCCTTGCAGTTACCTTTTATTTTTCCTCTGAGTCTTCTCTCTCGTTTCTTCTCTATAGGAAGAGTCTGTCATGTAGACAGGAACTCTTAGACTGGGAGCCTAGGCGTCTTTCTCTGTGAGTGTAAATGAACTTGTACATAATGGGACAATTGAATCACTGCGATCTGACCCATCACTGGCAGCCTTTGCAAATCACATGTATTTTGAAGTCTCCTGCGCATCCTACCCCTTTGTGGGAGCGTTAGCATTTTGTGGACAGACAACTCAGTGGAGCACTGTCTGTGTGGCTGTTTGCTGGGTGCCAAGTGCGAATAGCTAAACCACGGTTCCACTTCATTCTGGCCCAGCCCAGCAAAATGATGTAGTTAGTGTGCAATATTTTATAAAACATTCTAATATACTAGGAGAAGAAGGAAGTGAAATTCAAACCTGCTGGTTTTGTTAGTTACTAACATTTCTGCCCAAAGGTATGTATTAGGAGGATTCAAACACTCTTTGGATCTTCTTGAGGTCTGTTTTTGGTGTTGCTCTTCCTGTCTCGTTCTCCAGTAGGTATGAGACATATATCCAAACTACTTGATATTTATATTAATTTTTAATATTCACAAGAACATAATTTGTCTTGAATCTGTTTTTTTTTGCTAGCCCTTGGCATCTAGGCAAATAAATGTTACACTTCTGGCTTGGGCCCTATTCAAGGACGCGTCTCCCTCATTCATTTATTTCTGAGCATGGGCTTCAGTACCCTCTGATATTATACATTCAGTGTCTACGACTGGGAGATATTTTATTCCTTGTTTATACAACTCCATCATGTAAATCACAGTAGTTCTCCCATTCAGTTGATAGGACTTGTCTGAATGTCATTCTGCCAAATTCATTTTCATCTAGGAAAGAAGACTCTTCAGATCCTTCTGAACTCTCTCTTTGTCTCTGAGTCTCAGTGCGTCTCTCTGTGTCTCTGTTCCCTCCACGAGTCACAAGCACCACAGCACACCATGCTTCATAGATGAATGTTAAGTTTATCTTTGAGGACTTAGCCTATGGTTATTGGGTAATATTTTCTTATTAGGAAAGTCATTCATTTTTTGATTGTCTCCTTAAAAGTAAATATATATTGACTATCTGTAGGAGGAAGAATATCAGCAGTTAATTCCATTAAAACTGATTAGTTTCATTAAATGCATCATCTTGAATGTTATTTTCTTCTGTCTTCAATTACAGTACTTAAATTAACTCCAGCCATTCATAAAAATCTTGAAGTCATCTCTCTTTTAAATGTAAAATTAAATTGTGAAGAATATAGAAGAAAATAAAACGGGTTACAATGGAGGAGTTAAAACGGTCTTTTCCTGGGGTTTAGAGGGAAAGTGTAATATTAAAACCTAATATTCTTCACCTAATATTAAATTGTATATGTGGAGTAGATGTGGTCGTTCTTACCATAATTGTATTACTGCAGGCTTCAGATTCCCTCAGTTATAAATTAGATTGTTTCCTTATAAGTAATCTCTGTTGACCAAGTAATCTGTCCATTATACCAACGAATAGAAAAAAACCTCATTTCTTACAGACTAAAATATTTGCGTGTGTTTGTTTCAGGAAAACCTCACAGCACCAGTAACTCTGAACGGATTCAGCTCTCAGGAATGTATAATGTCCGTAAAGGCAAAATGCAGTTGCCAGTGAACCGATGGACCAGACGCCAAGTCATCCTGTGTGGGACCTGCCTAATAGTATCATCTGTGAAAGACAGCTTGACCGGAAAGATGCATGTTCTGCCGCTAATTGGTGGAAAAGTAAGTTTAAAACAAACAAAATACCATCAGGTTTCCCAGTGTCATTGAGGAGCTTATCTTGAGCCATTTCTGTAATAAAGGGTAGGTGGTTTTCGATTTATCTAAGGTCTTATTCAGTTCCAGTTGTCTTCCTCCAGTGGGCATTGCTGGTTGGTGAAGTTGTGGAAAATGACAATGCCATTGGCTCACATAAGAACCTGGTGATCTTTGCTTCCTTAGTACATGAATCTTACCTACAGAACTGAAAATAGAACAGCTAGAATTTCAGTGTAATATTTTAGGCTGTAGATGATAAAATATTCTTTATGAGTAGATGTCTTTTGATATCTTGAGCATGTATTTTGTAGTTTAGTGTAATGACCCTTAAGTCCACGACATTAGGGTCATTCAAGCCTGCTTATCAAAGGTTAGACTTTCTGGCGTGAATCTTTGATCCCACTTTGCCATACCTCTTTGTTTGTGTTTAGTGAACAGTGGGGTTAGCATTTTTAGTTTATCTCTATAGCTAGTCATAATTTTTAAACCTGAAATGTTACTTATTTCAGGGAAGACCTGTGATACAGCTGATAGATCTTTCTGATATTACTGGCTGCCTTTCCTTGGGAGTGTTAACTGTTTTATTCTTATCATTTATAAAATAGAAAGAGCCAGCTTGCTTGAGAAAATATTACATTCTTTTTTTTGGGCCAGATTTATTTATAAACTCCAAGCATTGGTAGGGTATAATTACCATAATTATATGTCAGTATTTCCTCATTTTTATATGATATGGTAATCTGTTAATAAGCGGGAAGGCATATTTAGATGAAGAAATGAGTTTTTGGAAATCAGGGGCATATTAAACAAATATTTTCTTTACCATTTTTTCCCCCTGTGTGGGCATGGGAAAGAAGGTAGGATGTGGAGAATATAGAGAGGAAAAATAAAGAACCAACTTTTGTTAAAGTGAACTTTTTAAAGTGGCAGATGTTTGATCTGCTGGTTTCAAGGATTAGAAATGACGAAGGTGAGACCAGATGTGTGCAATAAGAAGTTGTTTTGTTGTTCACCTGCTATGTAGCAAGTTCATTCTTCATTCATAAGTTTAAATTAGTCTTTCCTAATGAGTACATAGCCCATGTCAGGTTTTTCCTTCTACTATTATACATTTTGGTCCTAAGAAGACTAATACTTGATCATTTTTAAAAATAGATTTTAGCCAGGCTGCAAGGTATATTTAGATCTATTTCAGTCATCCATTTCAAACTCATTGCTTCTTAACTTTTGTCTGAACGTTGAAGAGTTAGTGATATTTTATTACTGAAGATTTTGTCCTTTGGTCAGATTGCTGAAAAATTAGTCAGCATTATTACTCCCATAGGTCATCATTAAAAATGCGTATTTAATGTTTGATGCCCTGTTAGGTCAACAATCTGTTTCTTTCTTTTCTCTATTGTTAGACATTTGCATAGGTATATTTAATATAACTATTTATTAAATGTCCTCTGTGGGGAAGCCACTTTGCTTGGCATCCCAGAAATCCAAGATGGGTAAGTCACCATCCCTGCCTTTGAGTAGCTTATAATTTACTATCTAGAGATGAAGGATGAACAACAATATCTGCTCTAAGAGAGGTGCAAAAAAGTAGTGTGGGAGATCAGTGGAAGGAGAGATTACGTTTTGTGGGGGGAATCAGGGAATTTTGTAATGAAGGAGGTAACAATCATGGTAGAACTTGACGGGTGAAAAATCTCTTGACATATGAAGGACATGGGCAGAAAGAGTATTGTGCTCAGAGAAGCCAAAGCAGGAAAGCAATGGTATGTTCAGATAAGGTCAGAAGATCCAGTTATAATTAGCATTTTCATTCAGAGCTAGGGGCTTGTCCTGTTTCCCAGGCCTGTTATTGGATGGATTTCTACCATTGAGTGAATTGAAAGTTATTAACTTCCTTTTCTCACAGACAAACCTTGTAAAATCTGTTTTGCATTATGCCTTTAAAAATAGAGTTTGTTGAAAAATTGGGTCTTTTAAAACCTGTTGACCGAGTTAGGACAAAATAATTCACTCCTTGCGCTTTGAGTTTTCATTAATGTTTGTCTGTTCCCTTTTTCATTCTGTTCTGTTGTTAAAAGAAAAACAGAGTAAATGGAAGGTTTTAGTTTTTTAAAAATTTATGTAAAGAAGAGCTAGAACTGAAATGTGAGATAGATTGGTCATAACCTAGCCATAATTGCTGTGATAATCAAATTTGACACACCACTTGAGTATGAGTTTACATTTTCAAATGTAGATTTCCAAATGTGAAGTTAAATAAAACTCTCTTAAAAATGTAATTGTTGAAAAAAATTTGTTTAAATGATAAGTTTTTATTCCTTGTATAATCATTGTTATATTTAAATCATCCTTGAGAAATTAACACAGATTTTTAGGGGGCCAGCCCCGTGATGTAGTGGTTAATTTTGGCTTGCTCTGCTTCAGTGACCTGGGTTCATGAGTTCAGATCCCAGACACAGACCTGTACCACTCATTAGCCATGCTGTGGCAGCAAGCCACATATGAAGTGGAGGAAGATTGACACAGTTGTTGGCTTAGGGCTAATCTTAGTCAAGCAAAAAAAAAGAGGAAGATTGGCAACAGATGTTAGTTCAGGGCTAGTCTTCCTCAGGGAAAAAAAAAAGTTAACAGATTTTTAGATAATTTGCTTTATTTGATATTTGTTAAATTATGATGCATGATAACTTGAATAGCTGTTAACCTACTCCTCAACTTAGGAACTGTAGCAGGGTTTCTGCCTGTGTTCTCTTTACATCTGTCCCATTGCCTCTCTCAACCCCAGAGGTATCTACTGTCCTGGAATATGTATTCATCACTTTCTTACTTTTTGGAGATAAGTTTTATCATGTAACTCTGTTTTGCTTCTTTTTGATCTGAATAAAACTGGTATCATACTGTGTATGGTCTTCTGTGATTAAATTTTTTCATTCAGTCTTGTGTTTCATAATAACATTCTGTGTTGCTTGTTATGTGGTTTTGATTTCTGTATAATGTTCCACTCTGTAAATGTTCTAAATTCCCATGATTTCTTAAGTAGTTTTCCTGTTGATGGACATTTGAGCTGATTCTAGTTTTTTGTTGTTATGAATAATGCTGCTGAATGTCTTATGTTGGTATGCAAGTAGCTTTCTAGGGCAGTAGTTCTCAAGTAGAGTTACTATGCCCGAAGGGACTATTTGGTATAATGTGTATGTTTTGACTGTTGTATGATTGAACAGTCAACTGTCAGTTCACGTAAGCTAGGTTATGCTGTAGTAACAAAACCCTGCAGATCTCAGTGACTTATAACAACTGTTTCTCACTCATACTGTGTCCCCACTGTGGGTCAGTGGAGTTTTCTTTTTTCACATAGTTTTACAGGGGGCCCAGCCTGATGGAGGCTCTGCTCTTTTATAACATTTGGAACATGTGGCCTTCCTTTGTTGCTTAAGCAGGAGAAGAGGTAACTGGAGGTTCATTAACTGGCTTTTGTATATTTGAATGCAGAAGTGAGCGTGCCACTTCTGCTCATGGATCATTGGCCAGAACTAGTCACATGACTTCACCTTCATTGCAAGAGGTCTAAGAAATGTGGAGAAGTAGATAGTGATTGGTTAATACCAATGTCTTTGTTGCAAGCGTACACTATTAGCATTTACAGGGCCAGGGACTCAGAGAGTAAAATGTCATCCAAAGTATTAGACAGTCCTGCACAATGCGCAATGAAGAACCATTCAATCCAAATTCCTACAATGACCTCCTTGAGAAATGTTGCTCTTGGATGCACACTTAGGAGTGCAGTTAGTGGGCTGTTGGGTATATGCACATTTACTTTTACAAGATAATGTCAAATTGTTTTCTAAAGTGGTTGTACCATTTTACACTCACATCAGTGTAGAAGTGTTCCTCTTTCTCTACATCTTCACCAAACTTTATTGAGATATAATTGACGTGCAATAAAGTGCACATTTTGATAATTTGATAACTATATCACCCCGTGAGTACAATAGCTATATACACCCATTAAACCATCACCACGATCAAGATAGTGATCATATCACCCCCAAAAGTTTCCTTGTGCTCTTTTGTATGCCTTCCCTCTCACCTTTTCCTCTCACTTCTCCCTAGCCCCAAGAAACCACTGGCCTGATCTCTGTCAATATAGATTAGATTAAATGGCATCTTAAAAAATTTATGCTTTCTCTTTAGTGTATAGATATGTAGTTGATTTTTGAGTATTGATCTTATATGCAGCCATTTTGCTAAATTTTATTCTAATATAATGTCTGTAGATTCTTTGGAGTTTACTATGTAGCTAATCATGTCATATTCAAATAATGACAATTTTCTTTCTTCCTTAATACAAATCTTTGTCTTATTGTAATGGCCAGGACTCCAGTACAGTATTGAATAGGAACAGTAGATACTTGTCTTATCAGTGGTCTTGAAGAGAGTGATATTTCATCATTAACACTGAAGTTTTCTTTAGATGTTTGATAAATACCCTCTGTCAGCTTAAGTGAGTTATTTGTGTTTTTGGTTAGTTAAGAGTTTTTATCATGAAGGATGAATGGGTGGTTCATTGATAATATGCTTTTTCTGCAACTCTGGGTATGATCTTATGGTTTTCTTTGTAATCTGTTAATGTGATTAATTTTATAGTTCCAAAGATGTTACACCATCTTTCTTTTCATGAGGTGAATCCAACTTGTCCTTGATATATTTTTTTCTGTATTATTGCCTTCTGATGCAACATTTTATTCAAGATAAGTGTTCATGACTGAGATTGGCCTGTAATTTTCCTTTCTTTTTCTTTCTTTTTTTTTTTTTGAGGAAGATTAGCTCTGAGCTAACTACTGCCAATTCTCTTTTTGCTGAGGAAGACTGGCCCTGAGCTAACATTCATGCCCATCTTCCTCTACTTTATATGTGGGACGCCTACCACAGCATGGCTTGCCAAGCAGTGCCATGTCCGCACCCGGGATCCAATCCAGTGAACCCCAGGCCACCAAGAAGTGGAACGTGCGCACTTAACTGCTGTGCCACTGGGCCGGCCCCAAATTTTCCTTTCTTTTATTCCTGTGATCTGTTTTTGATTAGACCAGCCTTATAGAATAGATTGGGGCGTTTTTGTTTATTTTTTGTTTGGTGCATGAGTTTACACAAGTTTGAAATGATCCATTTCTTAGAACTTTTGTAAAACTTACCTGTAAAACAACATAGGCCTGATATTTTCTTGAGAATTTTTTAAAATATTCATTCAATTTCTTAAATGGTTTTAGGACTATTTAGACTTTGTTTTTTTCTTGATTTAGTGTTGGTAGAATACTTTTCTAAAAATTTACCACAAAATTATTTGTAGTATCCTCCTTTTAATCTGCTTAATCTGTAGTCATGTCTTCCTTTTTGTTGTTAATATTACTTATATCTTCAATTGATGTCATTCATCAATATGAATTGCTATTCAATTTTGTTAGCTTTTTCAAAGCACTAGTGGTTTGCTTTGTTAATGTCATTGTTCTTTGTTGTATGTTTGCTTTTCATTTCATTAATTTCTGCTTTTTATTGTCGCTTTTATTCTACTTTGAGTTTATTCAGTTTTTGGTTTGGTACTTTTTCCCTTAAGTTCTTGAGATCCATGCCGACTAAATTAATTTTCTGCCTCATTTTCTCATTTGAGCATTTAAAATTATAAACTTCCATCTATGTACCACTTTCATTGCCTTCCATAAATTTCAATATGTAGTATTTTTCATGGTTTAGTTCTAAGAATTTCTAAATTTCGATTATGATTTTTTTTTACCTGTGAATTGTTTAGAAGTGTATTATTAATTTCCAAGTGTACTTGGATTTTTTTTTTTTTTTTGGTGAGGAAGATTCGCCCTGAACTAACATCTGTGCTAGTCTACCTCTATTTTGTGTGTGGGTCACCCCCACAGCATGGCTGACGAGTGGTGTAGGTCCACGCCTGGGATCTGAACCCACAAACCCGGGCTGCTGAGATGGAGTGTGCTGAACTTAACCACTATGCCATGGGACCAGCCTCAGTGTTCTTTGATTTTGAATTGATTTTTTTTTTATTATTGACTTCTAACTTAATTACATTTTGGTCCAAGAATATAGTCTGCATGATATAGACTTCTTTGAAATTTTTTTAGTTTCTTTGTAACTTGATTTGTGGTCATTTTTGTAATTTAAACATACGAGTTTGTTTAATATCATGTTAGTTTATTGTTTGGACTTTTATTCCAAAATGAAGAATTTACTGGGAGTGGAAATTTGATTTGACTCTAATACTGCATTATTAGGACTTGAAAGTTCTCATGGTAGGGTTTTATTTCGGCTTAATCTCAATTTCACATTAAATTTTAAAACTTGTTTAATATGCTTGAAAACCTCTTTAATAAAGGTTGTAATTCAGAGTAATACAAAAGTCGCTTAAGTAAAAATCCACCTGAAGTAAAAATCCTTAGGTGGAATCCTCCCAAGAGAAAGTATGAGCCCTGGCACCCTATTGTGAGGATGAAGAAAGAGAGGAAAGGGAGTCGGTGTCCATTTTAAAGAGGAAGAAGAGAATTTCACTATTGTGGGGAAATCTGATGAAGATAAAACTCCCCTTTTTTGGTTTCCTTGTAATTCAGATTGTTGGTCAGCCTCCAGAACTTACATATTTTAAGTAATAAGAGGACCATATATAGGGAAGGATGCAAATCTCTGCAGCCTCGCTGATGGAAGGTGTAGTTAGTGAACTGTGTAAATGGTTCTGCTTTCTGACTTGTTTTTGTGTCTCCTTGTTTGTTGTTATAGGTAGAAGAAGTGAAAAAGCACCAGCACTGTTTAGCATTTAGCTCCTCTGGACCCCAAAGCCAGACTTACTACATTTGTTTTGATACATTCACGGAGTATTTAAGGTGGCTTCGACAAGTCTCCAAGGTAAGCACTCACCCAAGAATTCTGTTCAGCTTCTAGCTGCCTCAGGAGTTGCTTTCTGCTTTACCCAGTTCCAAAATATAGTCATGAATTCAAACTTATTTTCAGATACTGCCAGTAGTTGGCAATTTTTATTTATTTAAAAGTTCATTTTTCCTGAAAAGTAGCTTTTTAAAAATTGTGTTTTGTTTGCCAGGTTTTGTTTATATTTAAAAAAAGAGAATTGAGTTGGTAGGCTGGCATCACTTACTCAATGTTATAGATATGCAACATGAGATTGAGACTATTTCAGGGACTGGCCCAGGGTAGGCCAACTACAAAACCACAAAATACCCAGAAATGGTTATAAATTTCCCCTCTTCCTCTGAATATTTTTTCTTAAAGCAGTCTAATCTTGTGCCATCTCTTTTTCACCTTTTCAGCTTCTTCCTTTTGAATCATTTAATTTCTTTTCTCATCTTAATTATTTTGACCATTTTATAGTCCCTTGATTAAATAAGATCACCATGACCTGTGAAACAATATACCTTTGTGTGCACGTGTGTGTGTGTGTTTGTGTGTGTATAATGGAAACCAGAATAACATGACAAATATGCTGGTATTTCAGGTGCACACGTGAGGATGTTTTTATATTACTTTTATAGAATTATGTGCAAATGGGTGGATTGCAGTACTTTGTGCCTTGGTTTTGGGTGTGTTTGTGAAATGATGAAACCTCCAGGGTGCAGAAGCATGACAATGGAATTTGCTTTCGTATTTTTAAATTTGTAATCCAATTTGTTATGCAAGTTCCCTGTGATTCAGACTGCTGTCTGATGTAATTATTTGTCAAGTGAATGAATTGCAAATAACTTTGTAAAACAGTTAATAGAAAATTAGGGAATAAAGTCTAGAAAGTCTTTCTGCAATATCGGCCACCTTTGATTTGTCGGGTAAAAACTCTTCTCTGAGGATGCAATATAGTTAGGAACATTAGTTTCTCCTCCTTTTAGAGAAGAAGCAATGGGCAGAGTTTAGGTTGACAGGATTTATAAGATGCTGTCAACCTAGTAGGCAAATGGAGATTCTAAATGTACAGGGCAGCACCCTACTAGAGAAAATGGGCAAGATGACGCTTCTCCTTCAGATTTGCATGGAGAATTAATGTGATATTGGAGGTAATAAGTAAATCTGCCTAGATGTTTTAACATTACTCTTATGGTTGCAAATGTGAGGAGACAAGTATTAAGTAATATTGTGCTTTTATATATAAGTGGTTGTATGTGTTCAAAGCAAAAAGTCAGTGGCCTACACTCTGCTTTATTCAGAATAAAATGCCAAACTATGATCAAAGTGCAGTAAATTTCTTTTTATATGGAGATGTTGATTTTTTTTAATAACGTTTTTATTTTGGAATAATTTTCTATTTACAGAAAAGTTGCAAAGATAGTACAGAGAATTTCCATATGTCCCTCACCCAGTTTCCTGAATACCATATAATACCATGATACATTTGTCAAACTAAGAAACCAACGTTAGTATATTACTCTGAATTAAACTCCAGAATTTATTTGGATTTCACTAGTTTTTCCATTAATGTCTTCTTTCTGTTCGCTGATCTAATCCAGGATACTACATTGCATTTGGTTGTCATGTCTCCTTTGTCTGCTCTGGTCTGTGACAGGTTTACATGACCTTGACAGGTTTGAGGAGTACTGGTCAGGTACTTTATGGAATGTCCTATATGGAGATGTTTTGATCTTTTACACCAAATGCACAGTGTAATAGTCTGCTGCTTTACATTCTTTTTGGAACAAGTCAGAGGTATAAATTCTTAAACAAACGTGAATAAGGATGTAAATAAAAGTATATGTAAACTATCAAGCTTATCAATGACAGATTGTTCTTATTGAAACAATAATAAAAAAAATTAATAGGTATTGAGTTTAATAGTTTTGTAATTAAACATCCACACAATTGATGTCACTGTTCTAACACCAGCAAGCATTTATTAAGCACCTGCTATATGTCAGGTATTTGTTTTATGCACTGGGATACAGCAAAGAACAGGTCCAACTCCCCTCTCTGGGTAGGGCTTACGCTGGGGAGACAGATGATAAATTAAAAAAAAAAGACAAGAGGGGCCGGCCCCGTGGCTGAGTGGTTAAGTTCACATGCTCTGCTGCGGTGGCCCAGGGGTTCGTATCCTGGGCACAGACCTGGCACCACTCGTTAGGCCATGTTGAGGTGGCGTCCCACATGCCACACCTAGAAGGACCTACAACTAAAATATACAACTATGTACTGGGGGGATTTGGGGAGAAAAAAGCAGGAAAAGAAAAAGAAGATTGGCAACAGTTGTTAGCTCAGGTGCCAATCTTTAAAAAAAAAATTTTTTAAAAAAGACAAAATATCAAATAATCATGGTGCTGTGATACAAGGTAATAATGACAGAGAATAATGGGGGAGGAATAACTTTCTGAGAGGGGACGTTTAAACTGAAAACTTCAATGAAAGAAGTATTGGATTATTTGAAGATCTGGTGGGAGGAGCTTTCCAGGCAACGGGAGAAGATGGTGTGAAACCCTAAGCCTGGAACATGGGACCTGAAGTCGGGGAAGGCAGGCGTATTATATTATAGAACAGAGTAAAGAATCTGGATGTTATTATTGGCATAATGGCAAGCCATTAAAGAGTCTTCTTCCAGAAAGTTACATGATCTAACTTTGCTGTTGTTTAGAGAACGGATTGTGGATGGCAGGGAAGTCTAACTGGCAAGAGGCTCTTGTGGTGTTTTCTATGCAAGAGGTGAGGGTAGAAGTGGAGAGAAGTAGACAGATGTGTTTTGGGGCATGTTTGGAGATTGAGTGACAGGATTACTGATAAACTACATAAAGCCTGAGGAACGGAAAAAATAAAGAATGGTTTCTTGGTTCTCACTTTGAATTACTGAGTGAATTGTAGCCTCAGTCAGAAACCATAGCACTAATTAGACTCTATATGTTTGCACCTTTATAACTATGGCAAAATACAGTTCTTGACTTCAAAGAGCTTCTGTTCCTGGAGAGACAGCAGAGACGTGAAGTACCAGAGGCAGATTATGAAATCTCTCTTAAATAGGCTGTGGAAAATGTTAATTTCTAACTTGTTGCTGGTGATTGGAAATGTCGAATGTTAGCTTGGTTAGTACTCTTTCCTGTTGCTGATTGGCTAATATGCCATCTCCATGGTCTAATAGGATGGTGTATCTATAACGAGACTCACTTTGATTATCCAAACCATGAACAGATGTCAGACATCAGACCTCTCAAGAGCGGGAGGTAGGGGATGAGGGGAGAATTGTGACACAGGACATGATGGTAACAGGATTGGGGAGAGGAATGTTGGTGTGAGTTTCCCATTCCGCTGATTATTGTATTGCCGTTAGAAAGCATTTGATCTGTATGTGCTAAATGTAATGTAGCTATATTCAGAAGATAGTTCACATACATGTACATATAAAACACGCCTGCTGCTTACATTTGACACGTAAGAGTGTGGGTGAGTGCTTCCAGGAGGGAGGAGGGACTTTGAGTTAATTACCTTGGATTGCTAGTATTAACAAGTAGTTAACTGGTATTGATTAGAATGAATTCCAATTAGAACCCGAACCTCTTTTTCCTTCAGAAAGGCTCTAAGTCTTTGGAGAAGCCGAATGGTGTGGGGGTAAAGAGTTTGAATTTCAAAGTAAAGCAGACATGGATTCTACCATTCAGTGGCCATGTGACTGATCCAAGTTTCTAAATTTTAAGCTTTTTCATTCGTTAAAGGGAATAATAATATTACCTACCTCTTAGGGCTTGTGTGAAATATACATGTAATGATTGGACTTATACTAGCACATAGTAAGTAAGAGGGTGTGAGTGTGTTGGTGTGAATGAATGACTAAATAAATACATAAACAAATAAAATAATTTTATGACCGCCATTCCTTCCATCGCCACTGATTCGCTCATCTCTTATAAGTATTATCTGTTTTTATTTTCATTTTAGACAGATAAAGACACACATATCCTTAGTCTGTCTGAGCAAGGGATCTTTTGCTGCTCTTAACAACCACAGCAGGCTTTTGGGGTAAAGTAATTAAGGATGGCAGAAACTGGAGAGAAAGATTTCTTCTTGAAAAGTCAGAGGTAGGGGACAGAAGGCAAAACATTTTAGTAAATGCAGATTTTAGATACATTGTCTTCCCTTTCTCTAATCTTAAAAATCGGATACACATTTCAAAATCTTTTAGGAGTTGTTAGTGAATTAAAGAGAAAATGAGTTGTAAGGGGCTGATTAAAAAGGTTGGATGTTATAGAATAAGTGGGAGAACTCCCTATTTCATTATGAATCCTATGTAAAATATGGCCACACTCTTCTCTAAACTTTGTGTGTTGAGGATAATCCTATGACAGTATCTTTTTCTTTAATCCAGCATCCTGGGAGAGTAGGTTGGGGCCTCTGGAAAGAGGATGAGAACCTCAGCCCATTTGGGACTATGTGCTTATGGGACATTTGGAGTGGCAAAGGCTGACTATTACAAGCTACTTCTATTTCTAGCTTCCCCTTTCCGTTGTCATCTCTTCTTCCTCATATGTAGGTATTAGGAAGTTACACAGTTTAGTCACACTCAGGGAAGCTATGGGAACAGTTTCTTTTTCTTTTTAATGAGAAACAAAACTTCACAGAATGGGTTGTCTTTACATCCTGATATTTAAATGGGGATTCATTTTGATAGGGATCTGAAAGAAAAACCAACAACAGAAAGAAATATCTGAGTTTCTGATTTTTAATGACCATCCCCACCCCAGTCAGAGGGAGGACAAAAAGAACCAAATTCCAGTGATTTTTAAATTAAAATGAGTTGGATAATTAATTTAAAGGAATTCTTTATTTTCTGTTTATGCTTCTTGATCTTAGCTACAAGAGAAGTGTTAATCTTTGTTCTAATTTGTTTCATTTGATTTTGGGAAAATTTTTAAAAGGTTATTAATTAGACA